TGAAGCTTCTTCCCCTCCTTCGTCTACCTACCTAGCTAACCAAACAATCCACCTGCAGCATCCAGTCTCAGATCGTCAAGCCCACCAAGGAAGTCGTCCTCAACGCCCTCGAGCTCAAGCTGCTCAATGCCAAGGTCCAGGTCGATCACACAAAGTCCGAGCAGTCATGGGAGTCGTCCAACGTCTCCTACGACGCAAAGGCCCAGCGCGCCACCGTCACCTTTGACAATGAGATCCCCGTTTCCAGCAAGGCTTCCCTCGTCATCGAGTTCGAGGGTATCATCAACAACGAGATGGCCGGCTTCTACCGCAGCAAGTACAAGCCCGCTGCCACCCCGGCTGCCTCGGTCCCCCGCGACGACGAGTGGCACTACATGCTCAGCACCCAGTTCGAGGCCTGCGATGCCCGCCGAGCTTTCCCCTGCTTTGACGAGCCCAACCTCAAGGCCACCTACGACCTTGAGATTGAGATCCCCGCCGACCAGGTCGCCCTGAGCAACATGCCCGTCAAGGAGACCAAGCCCACCAAGGAGGGATGGCAATTGGTTTCTTTCGAGACGTCTCCCGTCATGAGCACCTACCTTCTGGCCTGGGCTGTCGGTGACTTTGAGTACATTGAGCAGCTGACGGACCGCAAGTACAACGGAAAGCAGATCCCCGTTCGTGTCTACACCACTCGAGGCCTCAAGGAGCAGGGTCGCTGGGCTCTGGAGCACGCCCCCAAGATCATCGACTTCTTCTCCGAGATCTTCGACATTGACTACCCTCTGCCCAAGTCTGACCTTCTCGCCGTCCACGAGTTCACCCACGGCGCCATGGAGAACTGGGGTCTTGTTACCTACCGTACCACCCAGGTTCTCTTTGACGAGAAGACGTCTGATGCTCGATTCAAGAATGCCGTCGCCTACGTCGTCGCCCACGAACTTGCTCACCAGTGGTTCGGCAACCTGGTCACCATGGACTGGTGGGATGAGCTGTGGCTCAACGAAGGTTTCGCTACCTGGGTCGGATGGCACGCCGTGGACCACTTGCACCCTGACTGGCAGGTCTGGGCCCAGTTCGTCAATGAGGGCATGGAGAACGCTTTCCGCCTGGACGGTATCCGTGCCAGCCACCCTATCCACGTCCCCGTCCGCGATGCCCTCGACGTCAACCAGATCTTTGACCACATCAGCTACCTCAAGGGTTGTTCCGCCATCCGCATGCTTGCCAACCACCTCGGAACCGACACTTTCCTCAAGGGCGTCTCCAACTACCTCAAGGCCCACGCCTACGGCAACGCCAAGACCAAGGCTCTCTGGGATGCCCTGGCTGAGGCTTCTGGAAAGAACGTCAACGAGATTATGCACCCCTGGATCTCCAAGATTGGCCACCCTGTCCTGACTGTCTCTGAGGAGCCTGGCAAGATTGCCATCAAGCAGTCCCGATTCCTGTCCACCGGCGATGTCAAGGCTGAGGATGACACCACCACCTGGTGGGTTCCTCTTGGACTGGTCGGCAAGAAGGGCGAGACTGGCGTTGCTGACCTGTCCCTGACTCAAAAGGAGGATACCGTCCTCGATGTCGACAGCGATTTCTACAAGCTCAACACCAATGCCACTGGCTTCTACCGTGTGGCCTACCCCCCTGCTCGTCTAGCCAAGCTCAGCACCCAGCTCGACAAGCTTAGCACCGAGGACAAGATTGCCATTATTGGCTCGACTGCCGATCTGGCCTTTGCCGGCAACAGCTCTGCGTCGGCTCTGCTGACCTTCCTCCAGGGCTTCCAGAATGAGGCACACCCCCTCGTGTGGAGCCAGATCCTGGGCTGCGTCGGCGACCTCAAGTCTGTCTTTGGAGAGGACAAGGAGATTAAGAAGGGTCTCAACAACTTTATTGTCAAGCTGATTGACGCAAAGGTGAAGGAGGTTGGATGGGAGTTCCCCGAGGGCGAGAACTACCTTGCTGGTATTCTCCGCAAGGACCTCATTACCAGCGCTGTTGCCGCTCACCACCCTGAGTAAGTTTTTTTTTCACTACTATAGTCCACAGAAGGAGTCTCTGGTTGCTAACAAATAAACAGGGTCAAGGCGGAAGCCGTCAAGCGATTCAATGCTTGGGTCGAGAACGCCGAGGCTAACCCTATCCCCCCCTCTGTGCGAGGCGCTGTCTGGCGTGCCGGTCTTGATGACAACGCCGCTCGCAACGTCGAGGTCCTCAAGAATGAGTGGTTCTCCACCAAGGCCATTGACGGCAAGCTCATCGCTCTCGCCGCTCTGTCCACCGTCGACGATGCCGACATCATCAAGAACAACCTCATCCCCTTCAACTTCAACGACTCTCCTCCCCAGAACGCCGTCCCCGCCGCTGACATGCACGTCCTCGGTGGCAACCTGGCCCTCCACCCCACTGGCCGTACTCTCCAGTGGGAGTTTGTGAAGAACAACTGGGATCTCGCCGTTGCCAAGCTCGGCAACCCCATTGTCGTCGACCGCTTCATCGGCCTCAGCTTGAAGACGTTTACTGACGCGGCTATCATTGACGATATTGAGCAGTTCTTCAAGGACAAGGACACCCACAGCTTTGACCGCACGCTGGAGACGGCCAAGGACAGAATCAGGGGCAGGGCTGCGTACAAGAAGCGCGATTCGGATGCACTCAAGCAGTGGCTGTCGTCCAACGGATACTTTTAAGTGTGTAAAAGAATGTAAAATTTAGCATGGGAAATTAGGGCAGAGTGCTTCGCCCATGGTGTGTATATATATGTATAAGCAGGGCCTATGAGGGCTATGAAGAAAACGAAATGACCTTTACCTATTTCGTCTTTTGTGAGTGTTGGTCGTGATTCGAAATCCGAGCTACTGGCCGTAATAATGGCCATGCAAGCTCTCTTCTGCATTGCGGATTCGCTGCCTGACTTTCCATCTACGATGGCTACTTGTTTCTATAATTGCTACGTCTCTCCAGTTTCTGCTACTATCGCTGCGAAGCTACTCTGTGAAGGTGAAGGTGACAGCCAGAGGGAAGTGTAGCTTCCATATTTGCTTCTTTAATAGGGGAATACACAACAATAAACCACCACAATCATTAGCCACAGCTGAAATACTGACTAGTAATTAGTTGGGTTTGCTGTTTTATGCTAGTTTTAACTACCCGCGATGTATTGTGAACCCTTTTTTCAGTGTTGTTGTTAGTTGTTAATAAGTATTGTGATATTCCGGTGCTTTATCCCTACCAAAACTATCTACATAAGACAACCACACATTACTGTATATTCTAGCTTACACGCGCCCATATATGCAAATATAGCTTAACACATTAGGATAGCTAGAGAATAGAGAATTAGGGCTATCTATATATATGTATAATATGACAGGAATGCTTAGATATCACGCCGTAGGCTGAGCGCCGCAGGCTACAGCCTGGTAGGTTACATCGCCGTGGGCAAAGCTCGCTGCAGGCGCCCCCAGAGGGTAATAATAAATGTCCCGTTGGATACATGTAGTAGGTATCTATAACTTGAACTTTGAATGAACGAGACGACCTTGAATGAACAGGATGACTTTGAACGAACGGGATGGCCTTGAATGAACGGGATGACCTTGGACGAACAAGATGATCTTGAATGAACAGGATGGCCTTGAATGAACGGGATGACTTTGATCAAACTAGCTGATAGCGATTTATCTACCTAGTAGGTGGCCTCAGTTTATCAAAGTTTCTTCTATCAATCCGGAAAACCTTGATTGAACTAGCTGACTGCAATCTATCTAAGTGACCTCATTCTATCAAAGTAGCTTCAAACGAACGGGATGACCTCAAACGATCTAGTTGACCTTGAATGAACGGGATGGCCTTGAACGAACGTGATGACACTGATCGACGCAGCTACTTTGCTTACCCTTACGAACGCCTTTAGTGGGCATCAGACTTATACTGCAGACATGGGAAATTGGGTGGTCGCCTGCCTCAGGTATGAGGTACGAAGCAATCAATGGACACCATATCACCATATAGAATGAACGATATCACAGACCAGGTGCTTGTGCAATTCGCAACTAAAGCAGCAGTCTTTAAACACTTACCGTATTCGATTTACCGGCCTGCTAATACAGGAAAACATGGGTGATGCCTTGACAGCTGTTTGTGTGCATTACAGCTGGCGTCACGTGGCGTCCTGTGCCTCGCTGTTTGCTATGCCAACCACACCAAATAATCCTGCACTTTGTGTTTTTCTCTTTTTCTCTTTTCCTTTTTCTTCTTTATCCCCATACAAATTAGAATTTCCCAACCCCCAAAATTTATTTTGCATTGCAAAGTACGAGCCAAGTGCTTGTGAAATTCGGTTCGTCGTGGTTTCGCTTTAACGATGGCGATGGTCTTGAACGTCGAGCGTTATTGAGCTTCTTCGGAAACCAACGACAGCACCGTTCGACCAGCCTCTAGAAGCCCGACCTGCAGTTTTATCGCACGCACAGTCAGACGCGTTCACCCGCGTATCGGCCAAGCAGGACTTGTTCCTTGCTACGCTGATCCTTTTCAAACAGTAGCTTGTCTCTAGTAGACTTGGATTGTCGAGCAAAATTCGCTCAAACCGGTACCTAACTGACTACAGTACCGTAGGCTCATCAAACACCGTCTTCCCTTTCACTAGGTTGAGGACACCAAACACCGTCTTCCCTTTCACTAGGTTAAAGACACCAAACCTCGCACCTTTCTATCCACGACCCATTGATTTGGAGTCTGCTATTCACAACGACAATCTTTCCATCCTTTCGAGCATACAGCATCATTTCCCCCTTTCCTGTCTTCCAATTTGCCACTAATCCTCGGCAATGGACATCCAAAGAAAGGCAGTGGCGCACTTACCCTTTGTGCAAGATTATGATACGGTTCCTGTGGAAGAGGGCAGTCGCAATGATACCTACCTACCTACCGACATACGCACACACCGCTAGTCCGCGAATCAAATTGGTTGCGTGCCTTCTCATGGTTCGCTCTTACCGAACGTTTACGCAATCATGGCTGCCGTATTTGCAAAGATAGCACGTCTGCCACTACATCGGCTGAACTCAAGGAAGGAGCATCCACCTCCTCACACAAGCGAGACAATCTCTCCGGTCGTCAATTCGCTTAAATGATCCAGCAAGAACGAAATATTCCCTCTCGTCCAGAACGGAGGCCTCTCTCACCCATCTACCTCTCTCCTCCAAGATTTCCCGTCGCTGTGGCTGTCCAGCACACCCCCAATTGTTCGAATCTTGGTAAGCGATGACTCTGAAATGTCATGAATTGATTCTAACTGGATGAAATAGCGGTCCTTTCACTCTGGAAAGATGCCAGCAACATCGCAGGCAGAGAAGCGGCGCTTGCGGTTCGCTGCCAACCAAGCAAAGCTTTCCCCTGAGCAGCTGGAACTCCAACGGCTGCAGAACCACGCATCGTCTGAGCGATTCCAAACCGCCAACACAATCTACGCACTCCGACAGGCTAAGCGTTGGTTCACCGAGTTCATGAAAGACCAGTACCCTGAAGTAGATGTGGTCCCAGCATATTTCACGCCTGGAGCTTCGCTACCAGCAACCTCGCTGCTTAAACAATATGCTCGCTATCTCGTGCGTTCTCGAGTTGGTGGACTTAATGAGAAGCTGAGCGTGAAGACTGTGAACCACTACATGGCAATGATCATGTCGATCATTGAAAGAGAGTGCAAGCATGACTCTCTGACCGCTATTCGGCGTGAAGTCAACAATTTCGTCCATAACGACTTGATTAATCAAGAGGGCATCAGGACCGCCATGCATACCAAGAGTGTCGCCCATACAGAAGACGTCACCTTCATTCTGTCAAAGTTGTACTCCCCAGAATATCTCAACAGGTTTCCGGATATGAGGACGGTGCTTAATCTTACTCTGTACATCGTCTTGGTTGTTGATTTGTGTGGACGGGGAAGCGAAATTGCTCGAAACCCGTCGCGACCGGTGCATCAGTGCCTACACTGGGAAGATGTTGAATTCTACACATTTCAGCGAATTGACGACAATGAATTTGATATTCGTGTCAACATCAAAGTCCGATGGTCCAAAGGCCAGACGGCAGATGAGTCGCGCTACCACACCGTACCTTTCACATCTCTACTGCCCCCTTCTATGGCACTAGAAGATACTCTGCGACTGCTTTTGACGTTGGCGCTGATTGACGGCGTCTTTGACTATGGTATAACTACCTGGGAAGATTTGGCGAGTCTCCGACTGCCACCACATATTGCCAAGACTGGCCGTCGCATAGCGATCAAGAAAGAATTTCTCTCAGTGCCAGTTCTACGAAAAATGGACCAAAAACACCGGTTGACGACAGATCCCGTGTTGACAGTAGATATGCAGGCGCACATACGCAAATTGGGACAATATTGTGGGCTCGAAAATCGTCTGGTTGCTTATTGCTTCCGCCGAGGAGCGGCGTACACCCTCGCGACTTTCAGCAATGACAGCAATGGTTCCCCCGGTGCCCCAGGTACTGCTAACACTCTGGATGCTGAACTTGGAGCGATGGCTGAATCCATGGTTGAGCCACATCTACTTGATGATACCGCCTGGGATGAGGCTACAGCACTAGAGGAAGAACGACTGAGCGAGTTAACGTCAGCAAAGTGCCAGACTGAAGAGACAATCGATCAGAATGCAGAACTTCCAACCGACGGCGTTCAAAAGACCACTAACAACGCTTTGCAATCAGAGACCGATGATCCATCCATGGCTCTTCATGGTGCTCCAGATCACATTGTTGGCAAAGGAATTGGTAGGATTAAAATGAAAGGGGTATCGGCCTATAATGACATGCTGGCGGACATAAAGGGTGCCGGAGACGACGAGGCGGCACTCTGCGGTGTTATGATGTCGTGGTTCAAAGTTACACATGGTATTGATACGTTTTGGGCAGGACAAGAACCACTTCCTGGAACATACGCGTGCCGCTTCTGTGGCATCGATTTAGTAGAGGTTCATCACCCAGACGAACATTGCTACAAATGCTCTCAAAAAGACGCCATACAGAGGGCAACGTCTCTACGGGATGGGATTTTCCCCCTGAACCAACCTTGCCAATACCAGGTCTGCGGTCATGGAGATCAACTTTACGAATTCGTAACTTGCGGCAAAACCTTCACGACAATCAAGGAACAAGGTGATCACATGAGGAGCCATGTGCGGACAATGCAGAAGACGGGCGCAAACGGTGACAAGGTACCAACCTGTTTTTTTGGAGGATGCGCGAAAAATCCTGAAGGGGGTCGCATCCGCCGTGATGGACCTGATTTCGACTCATTCGACGATTTATTGGACCATGTTTGGTCTGTCCACCACGTTTACACGGTAAAATCCAATGAAGTCAAATTTTGCGAGTACTGCCAGACTTGGCTTATCGAACCGCTTGAGTGGCGTTCCCATGCAGAAAGACACCTGAACGATGCCCGCAACGTCGTCGCAAAACACGGTTATACAGGAGTCACTGTTGGTCGCGCGATTGTCCCGCGTATTTGCCCTTTTTGCTTTCATGACGAACAGTCACCTACACAGAAGCGCATCGCAACTCACGCTTCGTTCTATGATCTCTCGACACACATTTCGCTTCATTTAGAAGACCATGAGAAGCAAGCGGAAGAGAGAACATGCCCGTGCTTCCCAGCCATGTGCACCAAAGCGGAGAAGATGGACAGCACCAAGTTACGAACCCATCTCGAAATTGTACACGGAATCGAAGCTAAGACTAAGACAACCGCAAAGCGCCGGGCAAATACCGACGATTCCGCTGGCAGTCGTACTCGAGCGAAGAATAATTGATGACATGATGCCTCGGTGTATATGGACAAACGCAAAGAGCTATTCAAGGTTTGCTTGTTCATTTTGGCACGTTTATTTTGGCACGAGAACCTGGTTGTCATTTGTCGAGCTTTCAAATGAGGATTTGTACCGAAAGATCGATCAGATACTATAGCTCAGATATCAATTGACAGTTCTCCAGACTTAATATCTATACACACGGTGCTATCATACGTGCTGATAGAACAGTATATAGGGTTGCTGAAACTGAAACAAATATTCGGGCCCTACTTCCCCAGAGATGCAAAAGCAATATCCCCAGCTGGTGGGCAGTTGGCTAAAGTGATGCGATGAACGCGTAACACAAAATCACGCATGCATGAGCAAAGCGTAAATTTAATTCTTTGTCGGTTTCTTTGTCCACCTCTAACTTTCCTTTCTTAACATCTTCACATTAATTCACCCATCCTTTACCTTTCTGCAGCACCAACTCTAGCGAGCATCACCATCTACGATCTACACTCCTTACGAACCGACACATCTGATCATCGAAGAAAGACACCAGGCAAGAGAAGAGAAGATGCCTGCACGAAGGTGGTGGGGAAGCCCGGTGATCAGGACTATAGAACCGGACGAACCGCGCGACCTCGCAAATGTGTAAGAGCTGTGGGAGCAAGAGCTATATGACAAGCTCAGGAAAGATTATGACCACCCTAACCCGATCGACTTTGAGGCACTCACGAATGAGAGCGAGGAGATGCACTGTCGTGTCCTGGTTAGGGGTGTGTTCCACCTTATTAGCCTTGATCCAGAGGACTATTACCCCTGCTACTTCGAGTGTGTGAAGAAGTGCGTGAGGCCGTCGGTGCTATTCGCCTCGACATGGTCGCTGTGGGGGGGTTACAAGGATTTCAACGTCAAAATGACCGCAATGGCCAAGCATACATCGCAAAACCGGACAGATTCACATCACGTCCATGATCTTCGGAATCAGGTCCTCAAGATCGTCCAACACTGTATCCACCAGTGTATGGCTCAACCACACTGGAGGGCCTGGTTTATTCTCCGTCTTGATCCTAGAGTGTGTGGTATTATCCTCTGTAGCTCTCACCAACCATCCCTTTAGGATAGGCTGTTCCGGATTCGCTGCCCGACTTTCCATCTACCATAGCTACTTGTTTCTACTATCGCTACTTTCTGTTACTATCGCTACTTTCTGCTACTATCGCTACTTTCTGCTACCATCGTTATTTTCTGCTACTATCGCTACTTGCTTCTACCATCGCTACTTGTTTCTCTTATTGCTATATCTCTCCAGTTTATAAGGTTTTTGTCGCCTGGACGAGGCGCAATATATACACATACTTCAGTCATCAAATAGGCCCCCGTCGCCATATCAATACGGTGAAGTTAATCCAGGTGAGTCATTTTATCCTTTATTCGCTGAAACCTAGAACTCGGCTGATCCCGTGCTTTAGTATCCTTGCCTATATAAAGGGCAACACGAACCCATAGAGAGCACATGTTACTCCCTTAAGAACCACGCACCTTAAAGAAAAAGCGCCTGAAGACTCGTCACCCAACAATCGCAATGACCCTTACTCAAGGACTGCCCTATCCACCAGGGAACAAAGAGAAGGTCGGATACTATAACGGGTTGACCGATAAACCCAAGCTAGTTGCCAGGACGAGTAGCACTCCCTTTGTTCCCCATGGCCCTTACGGCGATACACGCGAATTCCGCGGCGATTCTATACACAGAGAGCCAATCGAGGATCACGAAATAACATCGGTGTACAGTCGAGATTTCGCTCGAGCCATCATTACTGCGTTAGGAGCTTTTCCGTGGCATCGCTTCTATCCCATTCGCTTAGGCGACTATATGAGCCGAAGACCTCCTGTAGTATTCATCATTGAGACTCTCTCTGATTTGGAGCCCTGGGAAACGTCGATTGAAGCTGCTCTAGCTTGCCGAACCGTCATTCGTTCGCTCGGGATAACCGATGTCGAGGTTGAGATCCAACAAGTCTCTGAGATCCAATATGCTGCGACCAAAGAGCTAGATGCTTTTATAGACGATCTCAAGTGCCCCGCTAATGCCTCGCTTATTTCGAATCCTCCTACCGAACTTGAAGATATCGTTGATAATGTCCGCCCCTTCTCATCTCAAATCGGATATCAGATCGATAATCCAAAGCTTGCCAAAGCGGGCACTATGGGCCTTCACTTGCGATTGGGAGACGCTGATGTATCCTATGGTTTAACATGTCAACACGCCGTTCTTGATTCGCCCTCTCGTCCGTTGGGCGATGGCGAGTATAACAACTCTGGGGACAAGACTGTGGCTATTCGACAAGTGAATCCTCTTACAGCTAGGGAGCTAACCGTTTGCAGCCAACGGGAAGAGAAATATTGGAGAAGAATGCACCGAGAGCTGGAAATGAAGATCAAAGAATGGGATGAGCAGCATAGTACAACAGAAGAGACCGCAAAAGAGACCGCAAAAGAGACCGCAGAGGCCAAGGAAACTCCTCGGCCCACCTCTGAGGAGCGAGAGCGTCTATTGGTATTAGACACCATTGTGTCACAAGCCACCAAAGCCACTAGCCTTACGCAGGCAGCGCTTGATCAATCCCGAATCATTGGGCATGTGTCCTATGCACCATCACCGGGTATATTCCCCAGTGGGCACTTTGCGGACTGGGCGTTGGTTGAGCTTGATACGGCCGCCTTCGCTGCCCAGCCTACCAATATGGTGTACATCAATCGTAGCGAGTTTGATGATATGCGTGATCGTGGTATTGGATCCTTTGGTATTGGACTCCCGAGAAGTCGACACAGGCGTTATTTGTTAGATGCAGAAATTCCACGTCTGCTGGATCGCCTGGATGATGACGGATTCCTTCGAATCAGCGGAGTTTTACCAACCCCAACAGATGGAACAACTTCTTCATTCGCAGTCGGGACGCGAGGCATGGCGACCTCAAAAGTAGCATTTGGCGTGACCAATGAGATCCTCGCAGTTCGGCGAGATTTTACCGGGGATGATGGATTGACGATAGTCTGGGAATGGATTATCTTTGGAGGGGGAGAGAATACAGGTGACAGATTCAGTTTTGGCGGAGATTCGGGGGCTGCAGTTTGGGATAACTCTGGTCGGTTTGTTGGCATGGTTACCGGAGGTGCTGCACTGGTGAAGCCGCGCTCTGCGGGAAGCTGGAGGCTCCCAACGGATGATGCCACTGAGTGCTTTGATTTCAATACGGCATCAAATTTAACGTTTGTCGTGCCGGCGGAGCACCTGTTTGAGAATATCAAGGATTTTACAGGAAAAACGCCACATATCCTATTGCGTACCCGTAGTCAGATAATAGAATTATCTCCTTGCTTCTACTATCGCTACTTTCTTCTACTATCGCTACTTTCTGCTACTGTCGCTACTTTCTTCTACTATCGCTACTTTCTGCTACTGTCGCTACTCTCTTCTACTGTCGCCATTATCGCTACTTGTAGCAGGCTCGCCCTTGTAGGTAGCGATAGTGGAAGAAAGTACCCAAACACGCAAATCTCTGTCATGAGGTCGCTTTGCAGAGTCCGGACTTTGTCCTGAAGTTTGGCGATCATGCTGCTTCTGTTTGAGTCTTTGCCCGCCGACGTGCTTGGTAGTGGAGTTGCGGTCCAGAAGCCGTCTCTGTTGTTCGTTGTTGGGGTGACTGTCTTTGCCGTCGATTTTGCTCTCTTGTCGGAGTGTTTGCTGGTGCTCTTCCTCACACTGCCGCATCTACCCTCTCCCTACCTGCTTTCGACCTACTTTTGACCTTCACTAGTTTCCTTCATATCGACTCTTATCTAATATCACTTCGGCCTAAGCTACGGGCCGTTTGTCTTTCTCTTGGGAAGTTCTTGGAAATTTCCTACCAGTTTCCTCTGTTTCTCCAGGCATTCAAGTCTGATGCCCGCTAAAGGCGTTCATAAGGGCAAGTAAAGCAACTGCGCTGATCGCAGTCGGCTAGTTGGATCATGGTCAACCAAATCGTTCGAAGTCAGCCGGATCGTTCAAGGTCATCCCATTCGTTTGAAGCTACTTTAATAGAACGAGACCATTTAGATAGATCGCGGTTAGCTTATTTAATCGAGCTCTTCCGGATTGTTCAAGGTCAGCTTATTTAATTAAGCTCATCCCGTTCAATCAAGGCCATCCCGTTCGTTCAAAGACATCCCATTCATTCAAAGTCATCCCGTTCAATCAAAGTTTAAGTTATCGCTACCTGTCGTAGATACTAACTATATATATTCAACGAGAAATTTATTATTACCCTCCGGAGGCGCACCTACAGTAAGCTTTATTTGTAGCGCTGTACCTACGGCGTCTTGTAGTTATAGTAGTATTTAGGATTTGTAGAAAGCTGCTTTCCTCTGTTTTTGAATAATATTAATTTAAAAGGAAATACGTCTGGGTAAAAAAAATTAAATGTAAAATTATATTAAGGCATATTACTATATTGCGGGTAATATAAGATATAGGGAGCCGTGGAGAGCTATAGAGCCTAACACTATAGAAATATTGCAATAATTACGTTTAGCTTGCAATAACACTAAAAACAATATTAACACTACATCGCGGGCGGTAAAAGCTGCCAAAAATCACAAATCTGACCAAATACCAGTTAGTATCTCAACCTGTGGCTTAGAAATGTGGTAGCTTGTTGTCATTTTTGCCCATTAATAAAGCAAGTCTGGAAGTTGCACTTCACTCAATTTACAACTTCGCAAAGCTGGCTTCGCAGCTTTGCTTAATAATAGCCCCGATCACCGATTAGTATCCTCATTTGTTATTTTACGGAACAAAATCACTGTCATTCACATCACGACGGGAGCAACCAGTAAAAATCACAGCTACTACTACCCAAGGTAGTTAGCAGTGCAGTATCCCCCGTACTGCCACTGCCTCTTTTTGGATGTCCATTGCCGAGAATTAGTGTCAAATTGGAAGACAGAGGTAATGGGGGAAATGATGCTGGATGCTCGAAAGATTGTCGTTGTGAATAGCAGACTCCAAATCAATGGGTCGTGGATAGAAAGGTGCGAGGTTTGGTGTCCTCAACCCAGTGGAAGGGAAGACGATGTTTGGTGAGCCTACAGTACCGTACCTAATCAGTTAGCAAAAAAGACGGAGCCATAGTAGAAAGAAGTAGCCATAATAGCTATAGTAGAAAGAAGTAGCGATAGTAGAAAGGAATAGCAATAGTAGAGAGAAACAGTAAGAGTAGAGAGAAGCAGCGATTGTACGTTCCGGTGTGAGCGAATTTTACTCGGCAATCTAAGTCTTCTAGAGACAAGTTACTATTTAAAAAAGGTCAGAGTAACAGGAAACGAATCCCTGCTTGGCCGATACGCGGGTGAACGCATCTGACCGGGCGTGAGATAAAACTGCATCAGGCTTCTTGAAGTCACGCAGTCTTGGATCAAGACGGAAAAGAAACCAGGCCTCCGACGTGAATCACCAGCCGGCAAAGAAAATGAAAGAGGAGATTGTGCAAGTGATGAATGAGGCCACAAAGGCGTGGCTACGCATTTGGGCCACCATAACGGACAAGCTAGACATTGTCAAATGGGTGACGCAAAGGAGGACATAGAAACGATAGATTACACATGGAAAAGCATTTGTCAATATAAAAACAGACGTGGGAATTGATCGGGAAAGCTGACTTTTGCTCGAGATTGACTGGCACTGGTTGGGGCATTAAGGCGTCTTATAGTTGAATGGGCATGACTTCTGGAAAATAATCGAGAAAGATTTGAGATTAGTGAATGAAAGCAATAATCGCTTCAGAAAATGATCGACTCATTGAAAATTCCGGGCTCCTCAGAAGCTTGCAATAAATACAATCCTCATTCTGTCTTTATTAAATACCTGGACATTGGACTCTCACCTTACAAGAAGCAGCATCGCCTAATTTAGTTGGTAGTGGAGTTTCCCCCCTGTAGAAATAGACTGGTGCTAAGCTTATCCTTATCTTATCAGCCAGCGCCGATAATCCAAAATTTCTTTTGCAACTCAGTCCGTCCCGCCAAGGCGAAAACCAATCCCATACAAAATCGCCTCTATTGCGTCCCAACCAGTCGCAAAAATGGTGAAAAGAAAAGTCGCGGCGCTCGAGAAGATCGATGCGGATTTGTATGTTTTGCTCAATCCGGATGCGCTCCAGTCCCTCATTGTGCTAACAACCATCACAGCGCGAGTCTTCAGTATAAAATCCGTCGGGATCCCAAGTATGCTCTTGATCGCCCTCTATCCGCCTTGGAGGGCTGTCGCTGACACTGTTGCAGATCCTACAAGGACGATTTTCTGAAGCAATGGGAGCAATATGAGGCCCAGCGCGAAATCTTCTTCATGTCGCCGACGACGGCTGCCGCCGATTCAGTCGAATCCTTCCACAACATGATCGATCTCATTGCGCATGTTGCCGACTGCTACCCCGAGGAGACGCAGACGTTCCCGGACGATTTGAAGGCTATCGTCTCTCAGAACCACGAAACTCTTCACCACGAGCTGAGAGACAAGGTTGTTGGCAGTCTGGTGCTGTTGCGACGAAAAGAGGTCATCGACTCCACCAGCCTGTTGACAACGCTGTTCCCGATCCTCGTGTCCTCGCGAAGCAAGTCCATGCGAGAGATGCTTTTCCAGAAAATCCTCAGCGACATGCGCAACTCGAATTCCAAGTCTACAAACCACCCGCTCAACCGAACTATTCAGGCCGTGCTATACAACTTGGTCACAGCAGATCGCGCTTCGCCAAGGGCTATCTGGGCTATCAAGCTGACGCGCGAGCTGTGGAAGCGACAGGTTTGGACAGATGCGAAACCAGTCGATGTCATGAAAGAAGCTTGTTTGGCCGACAACGAGAAAGTAATTATTGGCGCTGTCCGATTCTTTTTGGGCGGCGACAAGGAGCGTGAAGAGCTCGAAGACGAAAGCAGCGACGAGGAAATAGACCTGGCCAAAGTGAAGCATCAGATCACCATCAACAAGAAATCAAGAAAACAAAAGGAGGCTTATAAAAAGGCAGTCGACAAAGTCAAGAGGCAGGAAAAGAAAAAGTCAAAGCCTCACCCCCTCAACTTTTCGGCTCTGCACTTGCTACATGACCCTCAGGAGTTTGCTGATCAGCTATTCACAAAACACTTGCAGAGTACAAAGAACAAGCTCTCTCTGGATACAAAGTTGCTTGTTCTGCAGCTGATTACCAGATTAGTCGGTCTACACAAGCTTACCATTGTGCCGTTATACTCTTGGTTCATCAAATACCTTACACCCAAGCAACAATCCGTCACATCAATCCTTGCGTCTCTGGCACAGGGTGTGCACAACCTGGTACCTCCTGATGCTCTGGAGCCCCTGATCCAAAAGATTGCCAATGAGTTCGTCTCTGAAGCGTCAGCCTCCGAAGTCGCCGCAGTTGGTCTGAATGCCATTCGTGAGATATGCTCTCGTCAATCTCTAGCCATGACGGAGACACTGCTGCAGGATTTGGTCCAGTACCGCAAGAGCAAAGACAAGGGCGTCATGATGGCTGCCAAGGGTCTTTTGTCACTATACCGAGAGGTCGGCGCAGAGATGCTCAAGAAGAGAGACCGAGGCAAAGATGCCGCCATGGGCCTGAGCTCCGGCTTGATGAAGCAGCGCAAGTTCGGAGAGGAGGAAGTTGGCGGTATTGAGGGTCTGGATCTCCTTGCCAAGTGGAAGGAAGAGCAGAGGAAGCGAAAGCGTGCTGAAAAGGGCCTGCCAGAAGATGGAAGCGATGCCTCCGACGACGAGAAAGATAAGGACGAAGATGGCTTCAACTCTGATGAGTGGGAGGTTGGCTCAGAAGACAGCAGCGACTCTGGAGAGTGGATCAACGTGGAACATTCTTCAGACGAGGATGAGCCGGCTCCCAAGAAGCGAAAGGGAGAAGAAGACGGCGACGAAGACAATGCTGAAGACGAAGCCGCCGAGCTCGAACGCATGACCAAGCTCGCCACAACTACAATCCTCACACCGGCCGACCTGGCCAAGCTCCAGGAACTCCGCGCCGCGGCCTCCGTCCAGAAGGCCATGGGCGGCAAATTCCGCAAGCGCCAGCAGCAAAACCCGGACGGCCCCACGCACGCCGACGACGGCCTCACCGCCGAGAACATCGAGGCGCCCATCCGCCTCCGCAAGCTGACCAAGGAGGAAAAGGTCGCGCTGGCCAAGGAGGGCAAGCCCGACCGCGACGAGCACAAGAGCACGCAGGCCATTCGCAAGTCCAAGAAGGACGCCGCCGGCAAGAGCACGAGCAACAGGGAGAAGCAGCGCAAGAAGAACTTCTTGATGACGCTGGGCAAGGCCAAGAGCAAGCAGAAGAGGAGCTTGATCGAGACGAGGAAGGTCTTGAAGGGCCACGTGGAAAGGAGTACGAGGGGAGGAAGAAGGAGGAACGGTACGTAGATGTAATGAGGTTGTTTGGCTTTGGATCGGATATAGGAGACGGAGACGAGGAGTTGTTCTTTTCAACTTGTTGTGAAACAAAGCGCATTGTTACATATACTTTGGGATTAGACCAAGAAAGAGAAATAGACAAGTTTGATGTGGAGCAAATCAAGCAGCACGTTGCGAGTGTCAAGTTGTAAAGTTATGTATTTGCCATGAAATCATTATATAACATGTGTCAAACGGAAGTTGATCACAAAGCAGGTGATAATACTGGTATCCAAGAAAACTCATCAATCCAATTTAAGAACCAAACCAACCTCGCCGCTCCATACACGACGTCCCATGTTCCCCGCTCTACA